AGAAGCTGGGACAAGTAACGGGAGCTCATTCCATTACGTGGTGCTAGGGATTGGAGCCACTAAACTGCCAACCTCCTGACCGACAAGCTCAGCGTCTTAGCCACTGAGCCACCGCATCATTCAGGATACAAGGAGTTAAAATAGGTTGACAAGCATAAAGGGATGGGCAGCTAGGCAGACTCTTGGACCGGAAGTATCAATTTCTCCCTTTTTGAGGAGACCCAGGTTCTCAGGATGGACACACACCTGGTTGGGATCAATAACATAGTGGTACTTCTCGGCGTAGATCATGGCCAGGGACACTGAGATGGCATAGGCCACGAAAGCGAGGGCCACCGTGTCCCCCAACACTTGGGGCAGCAGATGCAGAGCTGGGAGCTGGGGCTGTGGGAACCTGCATGAAAGAATGGTGGGATGGGAAACATTGTGTGCTACAAAAGAGATCACTCATTGCCCCTCCCCATCATCCATATCCAGGGCAAAACTGAAGCCCCTTCCCCACCCCCCACCCTGTATGGTCCAATCCAGAGCATCAGGCTAAGACAGGAAATTGCATTTTCAATGCCATGCCAATAGAGTAGCAGTGCCCTTGCCTCTAGCCAATGCGCAAAATGTGCAAAATGGAGATAGAGAAGGAACTTACCCAGCTGGGAGGTGCCCAACGATCTGTACATTATAGTGGGTATTCAGAGAGGAAGCAAAACAGATTCCCGTGGCCAGCAGTACCTATCGCAAGAAGTCAAATAAATAACATAATTAAAATAAGTGCTATCCGCAACATCTTTATTTTGAAAAAGCCAACAACACCATTGTCAAATTGATCGCAGCTGTTAATATCTGGAGATCTGAAAAAATCAAGTGTCTCCAAGTATATTTATCTCTCAAATATATTTTGCCGCAATAGGGCAACCTGAATTTATTAAGTATGTTAGGGATGAATACTGAACTGAGTTAACAATATTTTTTTCCTATGTCAGCTAGAGCTAGCATATATATCTTTAAAAAGAAGATCAAGTTTTACGTAACTTGTGTTTCTCTTGGGCAAGTGCTGCAAAATATTGCAACAGAATGGCAGTGCTGGCAGTATGTCCAGTACAGTGGTGGGATTCAATTTTTTTTTACTACTGGTTCTGTGGGCGTGGCGTGGCTTGGTGGGCATGGCGTGGCTTGGTGAGCGTGGCTTGGTGGGTGTGGCAGGGAAAGGATATTGTAAAATCTCCTTTCCCTCTCCACTCCAGGGGAAGGATACTGCAAAATCCCCATTTCCTCCTGACCAGCTGGGACTTGGGAGACAGAGAATAGATGGGGCGAGGCCAGTCAGAGGTGGTATTTACTGGTTCTCAGAACTACTCAAAACTTCTGCTACCGGTTCTCCAGAACTGATCAGAACCTGCTGAATACCACCTCTGATCCAGTAGTCTAGAACAGACTAGGCGAAATGGCACTATCCCCTCCCATTGTGATAAAACTAGTCAAAATTACAAGTGTAGAAAGCCCACGGTTGACAGAAGCAGTGGAAAATCTTTTTATGCACTTGGTGGCAACAAAACCAGCAACATATAGCTGATAGAACCTAGATATCTTTCCTGGTTTTAATCAATTCTCCCTACAGCATACTCCTAGCACTATTTTTCGAAACAGTGCGTCCTGATTACTAGGCAGAGATTCAGCCCTTTATTCAGAAATATGCTAAACTTTGTTTGTAAGGTATCTGTGGAGGATTTGCCAAATGCTGGAGAAAGAATGGGTCAGGCAGATACCTCTGCAGAAGTCAAGTGTTTAGTCTCCCCTGTGGCCCAAGACAAAATTGCGGTGAGGGGCTATTTCCAGTGATTGGACTGTGGGATCTGCCCACCATAGAAGAGGCTGTCTATTAAAAGCTGCCCACCCCTGCTTATGTTAGCAATGATCGTGTGTGAAGCGTGCTAGAGTGTGTCAATGGCAATCAGGTTCAGAAGAAGAGGGAAAACACCCCTTTAAAACTGGGAATAACTAACAACTTTAAGCTGCCTCAAGACCACATTTGTGCCATGGTTAGGTGGATAAGAGGACATGTGTTTGCCTGTAACTCTCCTGCTTTGTGTTTACTTGGAAGAACCACCTGTTGGTATTGTACATTTATTCATTTATTCTTACGTATATAAAGAAGCTAACGAATCCTGCTCCATCAGTTATCTGTGTATGCTTCTGGATTTGAATTTATGCAACAAACTCTGACACTCCAGTGTGTGTGAGATTGTGTGTGAGTGTGTGTCTGTGTGTATGAGGGGTGGGTTGCTGCCAGTGTTATTGCCGGTTCGCAGCACCTGCATGCACAGTTGCTTGTAAATAGTTCTGCGCAGGCTCAGAACATTTAAAAAGGACAAAAGAACAGTGGCGACCAGGGAACCAGTTCGGAGGAGTGGCCAGCCTGGGTCGCTGCTGGTTCTGGAACCTAGTCCAACATTCCACTACTGGTTCACCCAAACTGGTGCAGAAGGTAGCAACCCACCTCTGATGTTTGTGTGTGTGTGTGTGTGTGTGTAGGGGGGTGTAATGTATGTTAATACATTAAAAATATTGATAATCTCAACAAACAGACAAAGGAAGCAATGAATTCTGTGTACATCAATTTGTTAAGTTAAGGAATGAGCTTCCCCAACTTACGCAGGGCCATCAGTGGTTGTATTTGATAGAGTGAAGGCAGAGTACTTGCCATGATTATCTCTCCTGGGATGGGGACCCACATCCGGCTACGGTAGCGGTGGTTGATTTCTTTGATCGGTACCAGCACAGCTAAGCAGAGCCCAGAGATAAGCAGTTCTGCCATGTTGGTTAAGGGTAAGGCTTCCACAACAGATGCCAGTGTCTAGGGAATAACACAGAGATCGTTCCCATTGAATAAACTAGAATTTAACATATGCTCATTGAGCAGCCTGGGAACCACTGAACCCTTCCAGCAGCAGTCACTAAGGGCCCTTCTAGACTGGCTCGGCAGAGCTGAGGATCCATTGCATTTTACCTAAAGTAAACTTGGGAGGGAAGGAAAGACAAAGCATAGCTAAGCTTAAGAAAAGATACGGCAAGGAATGCAATGCAAACCTTGAGGAAGGTACAGCGTAGTTGTTTAGCAGAAGAGTAAATTACCTAGTCCCGAGATGGAGGAAAACATGAGAAAGAAACTCAAAATTCCCTATCTTGATTTTGTTTTGTGTTAAGATGGAGCAGGCAGGTTTTCAAGATTCTGTTATTCTTCATACTATAATAAAGAACATTTCTGCAATCCCTGCAGCTCCAGTTTCTTAAATGGCCTACTTAGAAGGGTAGGCTCATAGTAGCTTAGAGAAACAAACATCTTCAGTACAGATAGTCCTCGACTTACAACAGTTTGCTTAGAGACCATTCAAAGTTACAACGTCCCTTAGAAAAGTGATTTAAGACCATTTTTCACACTTATGACCATTGCACCATCCCCATGGTCAGGTGATTCATATTTGGACGCCTGACAACTGACTTACATTTATGACAGTTGCAGTGTCACGGGGTTATGGGATCCCTTTTGTGACCTTCTGACAAGCCAGAGTCACTTAACAACCATGTTACTAACTTAACAACTGCAGTGATTCGCTTAACAAATGTGGCAAGAAAAGTCGTAAAATGGAGCAAAATTCACTTTACAAATGTCTCACTTAGCAAAAGAAACTTTGGGCACAATTGTGGTCATAGGTTGAGGACTAGCTGTATATTAGAACAGGGTTAGATGAATTAAGGATGAGAGGCATCTTCTCTCTTCATAAATGGCCCCAGAATGTCCCATACCTTGAAAATGGCGAAGTAGCCATTGGGGCGTGGTAAGGAAATGCCCAGGAGGCTCTGTAGCTGAGAAACCACCACATGCAAGGCAGCGGCACTCGTAAAAGCCTTGACCACTGGTTCCGAGAGATACGTGGAAAGGAAGCCCAAGTGAAGCAGGAACATCATGACCTGGGTTAAGGAAAGAGATGCCTGAGTTAGTTATGGGAAATTCCCTAGAAAAAGATGCAGTGTTTGGTTTTTGCCTCTTCCACAGGTAAAGAAAGCCACGCAACATGGGGCTGTTGTTAAGTTTTCTCCTTTCCAGGCAAAATTAGAAAATTTCTCTTCTGTTTTTATTTTCAGGGTTATAGATATATTGAAAGAACCCTTAAAACGTCCTTCAACTATCTCAACAATCTTTGTTTTAATGAAGCAACGTTCTAATTTTTATACTTGTGTGAACGTAAGCTTGAAATATATAGATAATAATTTTATATACATATAAAATACATACTCTGTACTGTATACACACACACACACACACACACACACACCACATTGCTGAACTGAAAGTTCTGGACAGTAACCTTAATTGATCTTTAGGGATTGCTTGGCCTCACTGTTATCACACTAAATAAACACTATAAAACAGATAAGTAGGA